ACTAATGTGACATTTTATTGTGGCAACGTTTCGCTCTCCAGGAGCTTTGTCAAGCCGTTACAAACAGAGCAAGAAACCTCGACACCCACCTCAATGAACACATTTACGCATGTAGGAACGATAACTTGAACAACGCCTGTGTACAACACCAAAATTCCTCCAATCATCTCATGAAATTCAGGGACGCCCAATTAGTGATCAAAGAAACTAATTTCCGCAGACGCAAGTGCCTCAAGTCAGCACTAATCGCTGTTTCAAATACAATCAAACAAAACAAAGGCAGCTTCACCATCTCTGAAATCTTAGCAAGAATCCTCCTGAAAACAGTAAACCCTGCCATCACATAGTCTCTCCTGTTAATACTACACAAAGCACATTACAGAGAGTGAACACTGAAACTGGCCTTCTCTATCCAGTCTATATTTTTTTTTTTTTATTATTATCACACTGGCCGATTCCCACCAAGGCAGGGTGGCCCGAAAAAGAAAAACTTTCACCATCATTCACTCCATCACTGTCTTGCCAGAAGGGTGCTTTACACTACAGTTTTTAAACTGCAACATTAACACCCCTCCTTCAGAGTGCAGGCACTGTACTTCCCATCTCCAGGACTCAAGTCCGGCCTGCCGGTTTCCCTGAATCCCTTCATAAATGTTACTTTGCTCACACTCCAACAGCACGTCAAGTATTAAAAACCATTTGTCTCCATTCACTCCTATCAAACACGCTCACGCATGCCTGCTGGAAGTCCAAGCCCCTCCACACAAAACCTCCTTTACCCCCTCCCTCCAACCCTTCCTAGGCCGACCCCTACCCCGCCTTCCTTCCACTACAGACTGATACACTCTTGAAGTTATTCTGTTTCGCTCCATTCTCTCTACATGTCCGAACCACCTCAACAACCCTTCCTCAGCCCTCTGGACAACAGTTTTGGTAATCCCGCACCTCCTCCTAACTTCCAAACTACGAATTCTCTGCATTATATTCACACCACACATTGCCCTCAGACATGACATCTCCACTGCCTCCAGCCTTCTCCTCGCTGCAACATTCATCACCCATGCTTCACACCCAATAAGAGCGTTGGTAAAACTATACTCTCATACATTCCCCTCTTGCCTCCAAGGACAAAGTTCTCTGTCTCCACAGACTCCTAAGTGCACCACTCACTCTTTTTCCCTCATCAATTCTATGATTCACCTCATCTTTCATAGACCCATCCGCTGACACGTCCACTCCCAAATATCTGAATACGTTCACCTCCTCCATACTCTCTCCCTCCAATCTGATATTCAATCTTTCATCACCTAATCTTTTTGTTATCCTCATAACCTTACTCTTTCCTGTATTCACCTTTAATTTTCTTCTTTTGCACACCCTACCAAATTCATCCACCAATCTCTGCAGCTTCTCTTCAGAATCTCCCAAGAGCACAGTGTCATCAGCAAAGAGCAGCTGTGACAACTCCCACCCTGTGTGTGATTCTTTATCTTTTAACTCCACGCCTCTTGCCAAGACCCTCGCATTTACTTCTCTTACAACCCCATCTATAAATATATTAAACAACCACGGTGACATCACACATCCTTGTCTAAGGCCTACTTTTACTGGGAAAAAATTTCCCTCTTTTCTACATACTCTAACTTGAGCCTCACTATCCTCGTAAAAACTCTTCACTGCTTTCAGTAACCTACCTCCTACACCATACACTTGCAACATCTGCCACATTGCCCCCCTATCCACCCTGTCATACGCCTTTTCCAAATCCATAAATGCCACAAAGACCTCTTTAGCCTTATCTAAATACTGTTCACTTATATGTTTCACTGTAAACACCTGGTCCACACACCCCCTACCTTTCCTAAAGCCTCCTTGTTCATCTGCTATCCTATTCTCCGTCTTACTCTTAATTCTTTCAATTATAACTCTACCATACACTTTACCAGGTACACTCAACAGACTTATCCCCCTATAATTTTTGCACTCTCTTTTATCCCCTTTGCCTTTATACAAAGGAACTATGCATGCTCTCTGCCAATCCCTAGGTACCTTACCCTCTTCCATACATTTATTAAATAATTGCACCAACCACTCCAAAACTATATTCCCACCTGCTTTTAACATTTCTATCTTTATCCCATCAATCCCGGCTGCCTTACCCCTTTCATTTTACCTACTGCCTCACAAACTTCCCCCACACTCACAACTGGCTCTTCCTCACTCCTACAAGATGTTATTCCTCCTTGCCCTATACACGAAATCACAGCTTCCCTATCTTCATCAACATTTAACAATTCCTCAAAATATTCCCTCCATCTTCCCAATACCTCTAACTCTCCATTTAATAACTCTCCTCTCCTATTTTTAACTGACAAATCCATTTGTTCTCTAGGCTTCCTTAACTTGTTAATCTCACTCCAAAACTTTTTCTTATTTTCAACAAAATTTGTTGATAACAGCTCACCCACTCTCTCATTTGCTCTCTTTTTACATTGCTTCACCACTCTCTTAACCTCTCTCTTTTTCTCCATATACTCTTCCCTCCTTGCATCACTTCTACTTTGTAAAAACTTCTCATATGCTAACTTTTTCTCCCTTACTACTCTCTTTACATCATCATTCCACCAATCGCTCCTCTTCCCTCCTGCACCCACTTTCCTGTAACCACAAACTTCTGCTGAACACTCTAACACTACATTTTTAAACCTACCCCATTCCTCTTCGACCCCATTGCCTATGCTCTCATTAGCCCATCTATCCTCCAATAGCTGTTTATATCTTACCCTAACTGCCTCCTCTTTTAGTTTATAAACCTTCACCTCTCTCTTCCCTGATGCTTCTATTCTCCTTGTATCCCATCTACCTTTTACTCTCAGTGTAGCTACAACTAGAAAGTGATCTGATATATCTGTGGCCCCTCGATAAACATGTACATCCTGAAGTCTACTCAACAGTCTTTTATCTACAATACATAATCCAACAAACTACTGTCATTTCGCCCTACATCATATCGTGTATACTTATTTATCCTCTTTTTCTTAAAATATGTATTACCTATAACTAAACCCCTTTCTATACAAAGTTCAATCAAAGGGCTCCCATTATCATTTACACCTGGCACCCCAAACTTACCTACCACACCCTCTCTAAAAGTTTCTCCTACTTTAGCATTCAGGTCCCCTACCACTATTACTCTCTCACTTGGTTCAAAGGCTCCTATACATTCACTTAACATCTCCCAAAATCTCTCTCTCTCCTCTGCATTCCTCTCTTCTCCAGGTGCATACACGCTTATTATGACCCACTTCTCGCATCCAACCTATATTTGTCTAACCTATTTTTATGTTACCAAGTAATAGCTTTTATGTCCTTTTACTCATGTACGAGTTAATTGCTCTACCCTATTGTATTACTACTACTACTACAACTTATGTCACTACTATTACTACTACTACCACTAGTATTGCACCTCACTCTGAGCCTATATATACCCTTTGTGTCCATGTTCTGTTTGTAACGGCTTGACAAAGCTCCTGGAGAGCGAAACGTTGCCACAATAAAATGTCACATTAGTTGCACTTGTGTCCTTTTACTTTACAACCCTGCTGAACTGGTTAAGAGTGGACGTGTCAGCAGATGGGTCTATGAAAGATGAGGGGAATGTATGAGTGTATAGTTATACCAATGCTCTTATATGCGTGTGAAACATGGGTGGTGAATGTTGCAACAAGGAGAAGGCTGGAGGCATTAGAGATGTCATATCTGAGGGCAATGTGTGGTGCTAATATAATGCAGAGAATTTGTAGTTTGGGAATTAGGAGGAGGTGTGAGATTACCAAGACTATTATCCAGTGGGCTGAGGAGGGGTTGTTGAGGTGGTTTGGACATGTAGAGAGGATGGAACGAAATAGAATGACTTTGAGAGCGTATAAATCTGTAGTGGAGGGAAGGCGGGGTAGGGGTTTGCCTAGGAAAGGTTGAAGGGAGGGGGTAAAGGAGGTTTTGTGTGTGAGGGGCTTGGACTTCCAGCAAGCATGCATGAGCGTGTTAGATAGGAGTGAATGGAGGCAAATGGTTTTCAGAACTTAACGTGCTGTTGGAGTGTGAGCAAGGTAACTTATATGAAGGGATTCAGAGAAACCGGCAGGCCGGACTTGATTCCTAGAGATGGGAAATATAGTGCTGACACTCTGAAGGAGGGGTGTTAATGTTGCAGATTTATAACTGTAGTGTAAGTGCGCCTCCTGCAAAAGACAGTGATGGAGTGAATGATGAAAGTTTTTCTTTTTTGGGCCACCCTGTCTTGGTGGGGGATGGTCGCTGTGTTAATAAATAATAAATATACCTATATCTCTGTGTTGTAAAAGAGTAAATTAGTAGCAAATACAAAAGTTAGGGAATTATTTTGTCTGATATTAAAAATTTTCAGAGCAAGAATGCATAGAATTTTCAGTACAGTATACAATAAAATTTAAATTATATAATTCAGAAACTTGATAGATTTATGTAGATTATAGAGGCAAATTTAAATGTGTCCCGTTTCATTTTTAAGGAACTCATTTTTACACACTGGATGCCAAATGTTATGACTGAGCCTTTGTGACTCCTTTACTCATCCTCCTCCTTGCCCCTTCCCTCCCCCCCTCCCCCCCAAAAATAATAAATAAATTGTCTAAATCATTGCAGCCATAAAAAGTAGTGAACATATAACAGCTAGATTGGTATTATATGTGAGGCATCCACTGTGAGATTGGGTACCTCAGATTTTCTGTTCCTATCATATGTTCAATTATACTGTACTTGATTAACCATTTGTGATATACAGATGAGTAATATGTATAAATTCTCTTAATTGCATTGTTTCTAGCATCTGTACACATTTCTTGATACTTGCTACCTTCTTGCATATATGTAATTTCTTTTATTCTGTCACTTCATATATCTTAGATTTGTTTTACAGTATTTATTTTTTTCTTTATAATGTGTGTTTCTTTATCCAGGAGGTGCAACCTAATGGGGAAGTAAAAGACAAAGTTACTGCTTTTATAGTGGAAAGAGGGTTTGGGGGCAATATGTAAGCAGTCAGCACTCAAATCTAGATTTTTACAGTATTATTTTTCTTAATGTTTTTTTATAGAGGTGATCAAGGGATCAAGTACTGCTTTATATGAGATTGTGAGCCGCACTCAGAGACAATACATAACTTTATACTAACTTTCATTTTCATTATTCATTATTTATTTTAATGTTTTAGGCTATCTTAAGTAAACTGATGATCAGAGGGGACCATGTGACTGCGTCTTTTCTCAGTCATATCCGAGATGCATTGTCCCACTCCATGACAAAATGACTTTATATGAGCCTTTAATCCAAATTCAGTATTCTACGAACTTGAATGCATTATTCTGACACGCTCTCTTCACAAAATAATAATCAGCATCATCAGCAGTGGGTTTAGTTGTAGAGGATAATTCACTTTTTATAAATATAATAGAAAGTACAGTACATACCATACTTACATTAACTGTATAATGAATTTTAATTTCAATCCATTTTATTGTTAAGATTGATAACAAATTATAATAAGGTGTGAAATTTAGAAACCTCACCTTTCAAGTCACCTGTTCTCTACTCCCTGTATATATTGTTCAACCTGACTAAAGAAATTGTAATAACATGATTGCAAACAAATCACAAAACAGGTGAGGCTCAGACTCAAGCCCAGTGAATCCTAAAACTCACAAGCCAAAGTTTTAGGACTCACTTGTGGTGGGTTCAAGCCTCACTCATTCTTCGATTTGTCCCATCTATTCATTGTTCTTGTTATGTATCCCTCTAAATGCAGTATATAGTCATCTTTCTCGCATTCATGGGATACATTCCTGAAATTGGTGCTAAATACTGTACAGTGGAACCTCTACTTAAGAGTTTAATCTGTTCCATGACCTTGCTCACATCAGGATTTGCTCGTTTGCAGTAAATTTTCCTCATTTAAATTAATTGAAATGGAATTAATTCATTCCAGTGGAATTCCAGGCATGAGAAAATACGTCAATAATTTCCCTAATATCAACTCTACGGCTTATTTATCTGTCACAGTTCATGTAGTATGACATAATAAATAATATTAATAACACAGAAACATGATATATACACTAGAATGAATAAAATACATGTTACTTAATAATCTGGTCTATGTGGTCATCTGTGGTTGGTACATTTCCCATTGTTTTAATTGGTGGTTTTATTCAAGGAATCCAGCAGAATCGCAATTTTCCCTCCTCCTGATTACATGTCAGTTATGAGAACATAGGATAACAATAAAAAGTCAAGAACAGTGACTTATAAGTGTACCTCTAATTTACATTTAATTGCTACATCTTATGCTAACTTTGCATGCTTGTTTGTTGTTTATGGCACACGTGCTCATGTCTCTCACTCTGCTCATGTTGTCTGCCATGTACACGTGTGTTTGCCTGCTCGCTCATTTTCGTACATTTTGCTACCTCATTTGTACCTGCCACTGCTGCTTCATGTCTGCCACTGCTTGCTTCATGTTGTCTGGCACTGCTGCTTCATGTTGTCTGCCACTGCTACCTCGTTATGTCTGCCACTGCTGCTTCATGTTGTCTGCCACTGCTGCTTCATGTTGTTTGCCACTGCTACCTCATGATGTTTGCCACTGCTACCTCATGATGTCTGCCACTGCTGCTTCATGTTGTCTACCACTGCTACCTCATGTTGTCTGCCACTGCTACCTTATGTTGTCTGCCACTGCTGCTTCATGTCTGCCACTGCTACCTCATGATGTCTGCCACTGCTGCTTCATGATATCTGTTGCTTCTGCTTCATGTCTGCCACTGCTGCTTCATGTTGTCTGGCACTGCTGCTTCATGTTGTCTGCCACTGCTACTTCATGATGTCTGCTCCCACTTTTGCTTGCGTGATGAAGAGCTTTCCAGTCGAACAGGTATTGGATGGTGATGTCATTTGCCTACTCTTGAACATCGCCAAAGAATCAAGCATTTCTGCTACTTTGAGCTCAATTTCCAGGTACTTTCTGTCATGAAACCAATCAAAATCGTATCTATTTTTGTAGTATATCTTCCATTCTATCAACAGAGACGAAAAAAAAATGAGAATACAACCATCAAAACCATACGAAAATATACCGTTAATGGGAGGCTAATGGCTGAGAAGTGAACTTGTTATTTATGGTCCAATTTCTTTCATTTTTGGTGTACGCTAAGAAGCATCTTTCCATCATTCATTGCCCAAGTTTCAGTAAGATAGTCCAACAAACAACTGAGATCCAATTCCCTAGATCAAGAGCAAGAGCCCCTCACCAGTATCAAGGAACCTCCCTTGAGGCCCGCTCTCGTCTGGAAATTTTGCTCGTGTCTGGAACCAAAAAATCGACCGAGCAACTGCTCGTATCTGGAAAAACTTGCACATGGATGCACTCGTAAGTAGAGGTTCCACTGTATAAATAAAATCATGATCTGTATAAAGTGAAAACATGTGGAAAAATAGGGTTATGTTCTTTACACCTCCAAAACAAGCCATTATTTATTAACTTTCCTAATTTATCAGAAATAATAGTTTTCATGCATTACAGCATAGATGTCATTGCCTGTAGATCTGGAAGTGTGCAGAGAGATTTGGTGTGGACCTGTACAGTATTTTTAAAAAACATGTGACAGGCAGTATCAAGCACCAATGCCTTTACCTACTACCACCTTGGGCTTCAGGAAAGCTAATTGTTAATTCACTTTAATATGTGTTTCTTCCACTGAAAATAGGTAGGGGATTCCTTCCCAGAAAATGGGTAGGGCTCAATATAGCACAGATGTGGTTGCCCTCAAAATTCCCACTACCAACTGGGCCTCAGTCAAAATTATGACCTGACTACACAACCTTCTCATGTCAGAGAGGCTTAAGAGTCCAAAGAAAAACTTGATCATACCTTAAATTCTGGTTGTTGTTGCTTGTTGATATTCAAGTGTGTGGAGAGGGTTAATGTTTATACAGTACCTGTACAAACATGTAGCAGGCAATATCAGCTGCAGTTACCATTGCCTGCTGTCAATATCAGTAAAATAATCCACATTTCCTTAACAAAATTGTATCAGTAGTTACTGCTGTTGGTTGATATGTAAGTGTACGGAAAGACCTAGAGATGGCTCCTGCTCCTTCCTTCCTTCCAGCCCAGATTTATACACCCTATTGATCATTCTATTCTGCTCCATCCTCTCAGTGCTCAAACCACCTTAACAACCCTCATTAGCCCTCTGAAGTATATCACTGGTAACCCAACACAGTTCTCTAATCTCTGAAATCTGCATAATATGCACACCACACGTTGCCTTCAAACATAACATCACCACACCCTCCTCACTGCAACTCTAAAAGCTAATGCCTCCCACCCATTGAAAAATGTTGATGCTGTTATACTCTAGTACATTCCCTGTTTTGCCTCCAGAGATAAAAATTCTTCCATTCCACAGATGCCTAAAACCACCTACCGATTTTTTTTCCTCGTTTATTCTGTGGTTCATCTTATCTGCATAGACCCATTGCTGGCATGTCCTTGTCCAAATATCAAATACATCCACTTCCCCAATCTGATATTCATCTGTCACTGCCTCTGCTATGTTACTCTTATCACCTTCCTCCTTTCTATGTTCATTTTTAATTTACCTCTTTACATACAATCCCAAATTCATCCACCAACCTTGCAACTTCTCTTCAAAATCTTCCAAAAGAACTGTGTCATCAGCAAAGAGCAACTGAGACAACTCCCAGTTTGTGTGTGATCCATCATCATTTTGCACCTTCCCCAACACCTTAGGATTCGTTGAAAAAACTTTTTCCATTTTCCTCAGGTGTATGCTCAGCATCTGTTTGTTTGTAATATTGTAATATCAAGTGTTTAAAAGATTGTATCTCATCCTCAGATACACTTTGAGAACACTCCAGTGCCAATTGAAAATGTACTTGGAGAGATTGGGGGAGGCTTCAAGGTGGCCATGAACATCCTCAACTCAGGGCGCTTTTCAATGGGCAGCTCTGGTGCAGGTTTGTTGCCATCATCCCTCATCATCTATGGAAGGGTATTGTACTGTATTTTTTCTTTAACCCTTTCACTGTCGGTCCCGTAATATTATGGCTTGCAGGCCAGTGTTGGTCCTGTAATACTATGCCAAAATTCTAGCGCCTTCAAATCTGATGAGAGAAAGCTGGTAGGCCTACATGTGAGAGAATGGGTCTGTGTGCTCAGTGTGCTCAGTATAAAAGAGTCCTGCAGCACACAGTACATAATGAAAAAAAAAACTCCAACTGTGTTTTTGGTTTAAAACACCAACTTTGCGGTGTATTTTTTGTATGGTATTTATGGTTGTATTCTCGTTTTCTTGGTCTCATTTGATAGAATGGAAGATACATTACAGAAATAGAGATGATTTTAATCTGCTTTCTGAATAAAAGTACCTTGAAATTGAGCTCAAATTAGCAGAAATGTTTGAGTTTTGCCAATGTTCAAGAGTAAACAAATCACTCCACACGTACAATACGCATCAACTGGTGGGTCTAATATGCTTTCACAAATGTGCTGATATTATTTATACCATTTTTACAATGATGCAGTAGTCTGCATAACAGTAAATCTTCTATTTTTTGTGTGAATAAATATGAAAAATGGAAAGCAAGTGTAATATAAGGGGGCCGGGAGACATCTGATGAACAGAGAAAATGCTATTTTAGAGCTAGGAATGTTTGCTTTGTTAATTCTGGACCCTGTTTTGAAATTGGCCTTGAATTGTTTATGAAATTGACCAAATTACCAATTTCTGATCACTTTATTGGGTAGTTGAAATTGGTAAATGGGCGGTTTATTGTACTCAGTCGAAAGAACAAATGGAGTTCTAGCGAATTAGCTAAGAATTTGGTCGACTGGAATAATGGAATTGGCCGAAAATGGGGCTCAAAGTGGGGAAAATCAATGATGTGTAAATATTGCCTAGACCACTAACGTCATGAGAGCGTAATTTCATAAGTTTTCCATCAAATTTCATACTTTTGGTGTCATTACAATTGGGAAAAATTCTCTATCATTTCACAAGAAAAAATAATTTTTTTGAAAATTTTTTGACACTAGGAGCAGGGGTCTCAACAGTGAAAGGGTTAAACAATATGTGTATTTTATGATGCATGTAATTCTAACAACTGGGTAACAGAACTTTAAATATTACATTTATTTCATTAGTACTCTAGTTTTTTTTTTTTTAACAAGTTGGCCGTCTCCCACCGAGGCAGGGTGACCCAAAAAGAAAGAAAATCCCCAAAAAGAAAATACTTTCATCCTCATTCAACACTTTCACCTCACTCACACATAATCACTGTTTTTGCAGAAGTGCTTAGAACACGACAGTTTAGAAGCATATACGTATAAAGATACACAACATATCCCTCCAAACTGCTAATATCCCGAACCCCTCCTTTAGAGTGCAGGCATTGTACTTCCCATTTCCAGGACTCAAGTCCGGCTATATAAAAATAACCGGTTTCCCTTAATCCCTTCACTAAATATTACTCTGCTCACACTCCAACAGATCGTCAGGTCTCAAATACCATTCGTGTCCATTCACTCCTATTGAACACGCTCACGCACACCTGCTGGAAGTCCAAGCCCCTCGCCCACAAAACCTCCCTTACCCCTTCCTTCCAACCTTTTCGAGGACGACCCCTACCCCACCTTCTTTTTCCTACAGATTTATACGCTCTCCATGTCATTCTACTTTGATCCATTCTCTCTAAATGACCAAACCACCTCAGCAACCCCTCTTCAGCCCTCTGACTAATACTTTTATTAACTCCACACCTTCTCCTAATTTCCACACTCCGAATTTTCTGCATAATATTTACACCACACATTGCCCTTAGACAGGACATCTCCACTGCCTCCAACTGCCTCCTTGCTGCTGCATTTGCAACCCAAGCTTCACACCCATATAAGAGTGTTGGTACTACTACACTTTCATACATTCCCTTCTTTGACTCCATAGATAACGTTTTTTGTCTCCACATATACCTCAACGCACCACTCACCTTTTTTCCCTCATCAGTTCTATGATTAACCTCATCCTTCATAAATCCATCCGCCGACACGTCAACTCCCAAATATCTGAAAACATTCACTTCTTCCATACTCCTCCTCCCCAATTTGATATCCAATTTTTCTTTATCTAAATCATTTGATACCCTCATCACCCTACTCTTTCCTATGTTCACTTTCAACTTTCTACCTTTACACTCACTCCCAAACTCATCCACTAACTTTTGCAATTTTTCTTTAGAATCTCCCATGAGCACAGTATCATCAGCAAAAACAACTGTGTCAATTCCCATTTTGTTTTTGATTCCCTATACAGTGGATCCCCGCATAACGATTACCTCCGAATGTGACCAATTATGTAAGTGTATTTATGTAAGTGCGTTTGTACGTGTATGTTTGGGGGTCTGAAATGGACTAATCTACTTCACAATATTTCTTATGGGAACAAATTCGGTCAGTACTGGCACCTGAACATACTTCTGGAGTGAAAAAATATCGTTAACCGGGGGTCCACTGTAATTTAATCCCACCCCTCTCCCGAACACCCTAGCATTTACTTCTTTTACAACTCCATCTATAAATATATTAAACAACCATGGTGACATTACACATCCCTGTCTAAGACCTACTTTTACCGGGAAGTAGTCTCCCTCTCTTCTACACACCCTAACCTGAGCCTCACTATCCTCATAAAACCTCTTTACAGCATTTAGTAACTTACCACCTATTCCATATACTTGTAACATCTGCCACATTGCTCCCCTATCCACTCTATCATATGCCTTTTCTAAATCCATAAATACAATAAAAACTTCCCTACCTTTATCTAAATACTGTTCACATATATGCTTCAATGTAAACACTTGATCTACACATCCCCTACCCACTCTAAAACCTCCTTGCTCATCCCCAATCCTACATTCTGTCTTACCTCTAATTCTTTCAATTATAACCCTACCATACACTTTTCCTGGTATACTCAGTAAACTTATTCCTCTATAATTTTTACAATCTCTTTTGTCCCCCTTCCCTTTATATAAAGGGACTATACACACTCTCTGCCAATCCCTAGGTACCTTCCCCTCTTTCATACTTTTATTAAACAAAAATACCAACCACTCCAACACTATATCCCCCCCTGCTTTTAACATTTTTGTCATGATCCCGTCAGTTCCAGCTGCTTTACCCCCTTTCATTCTACATAATGCTTCACGCACCTCTCCCATACTCACATCCTATTCTTCTTCACTCCTAAAAGATGGTATACCTCCCTGGCCAGTGCATGAAATTACCGCCTCCCTTTCTTCTTCGACATTTAAAAGTTCCTTGAAATATTCTCGCCATCTACCCAAAACCTCCATCTCCCTATCTACAAACTCCCCTACTAGAATTAATAAAAAATAGTAACCTCAGTATAGTACAGTATACAGTAGGGCCCCACTTATATGGCAGGTTAGGTTCCAGGCTACCACCGTAAAGTGGAAATCATCATAAAGTGGAACATTCTTTTTTTCCACATAAATGCATATAAATGCTAGGTAACATGTTTACACTAACATATATTAAGTTAAGAATAGAACTAGAAAAGTAAAATAGACATATAGTACACTCATTACTTACCTTAAAATATTTGTAGTCCTAATGTAGGGTGAGATGATTAGTATTTATAGTAAGAAATCAGGTGTCCTAGGTATGGTAGCTAGCCAGGCCACCCCACCCCATCCACTTAACATTTAAAGCATCCTAGAGTGATAAAATGCATATTCAGTTCACTCATTACTTACCTTAAAATATTTCTAGTCTTAACCCTTTCACTGTCGGTGACTTATAGGTATGGCTTACAAGCCAGTGTTGGTAATGTATTAATACCCCAAAATTCTAGCAGCTTCAAATCTAGCAGGAGACAGCTGGTAGACCTACATGTGAGAGAATGGGTCTGCATGGTCAGTGTGCACAGTATAAAAGAAATCCTTCAGCACACAATGCATAATGAGAAAAAAAACTCTGACCGTGTTTTTGGATTAAAATGCCGACTTTGAGGTGTATTATGGATGGATCGTCATTTTCTTGGTCTCATTTGATAGAATGGAAAATATATTAAAGAAATAGAGATGATTTTATTGGTTTCACAATGAAAAATACCTTGAAATTGAGCTCAAAGTAGTGGATGTTCAAGAGTAAACAAATGACGTCACCATCCAATATCTGTCCAGCTGGCCAGTCTAATACAGTGGACCCCCGCATAACGATGGCATCGCATAGCGATTTTTCCGCATAACGATTACTTTTATCGCAAAATTTTTGCCCCGCATACCGATTAAAAACCCGCATACCGATTTTCGTCCGAGACGCGTCCAATGTGCCCTCAGCCAGCCTCACATGTGCCGCTCCGTCCCATTGTTTACCAGCCAGCCTCCGCGGTAACATCCAAGCATACACTCGGAATATTTTGTATTATTACAGTATTTTCGGTGCGGGTTTCTGGAAAATAAGTGACCATGGGCCCAAGAAAGCTTCTAGTGCCACCCTCCCACCTCAAAGGGTAAGAATTACTATAGATGATGAAGAAAGAGATAATTGATAAGTATGAAAGTGGAGTGCGTATAGCCGACCTAGTCAAGTTTGTACAAGAAACCCCAATCAACATCGCTACTATTTGGGCACCAGAAAGGACAATCAAGGAAGCTGTTTTCCCAAAAGGTTCAACTGTGTTTTCGAAACAAAGATCGAAATTTTGAGGGAAAAGATGTTGGAGACTCTTATTGGTGTGGATAAAGGGAAAAACAGTTAGCAGGAGGATAGCGTCTCTCAAGCGTTTCATATGTGAAAAGGCTAGGAAGTTGCATGACGATTTATTAAAAAAATGCCTGCAACTAGTGATGATGTGAGTGAATTTAAGGCCAGCAAGGTTGGTTTGAGAGATTTAAGAAGGTAGTGGCATCCATAGTGTGATAAGGCATGGTGA